CCTCTTGAAAATGTTGTTTTCATCCTCCATGACAGAGTGTCTGTCTGTGGTGCATGGAACATCAACAAGGACCTGCAGAGAACAAGGACATCAACTGTCTAACTGAAACCTCTAAACCTTATAGAATTGGGATAAGCTAACAGCAGTACGGCAATTCCACGATAACAGACACTCAGATTTTTCACATGAACATTTATGCCAAACAAAAATCATTGACTTCAAAGTTTAACAAACCATACAAGTCTATGCACAATGACTACTTTTAACAATTTACACTGAACATTTTACAAAAAAACATTTACTGGAAGAACTGTGCAGATGCAGTTTGGTAACAGAATTTCTGTAAAATCTTCCTCCATTTTTTATGTGAACACATTTTCCCCAAACTCTTAAATATCGGCTCTGAATTAAGATTCAACGATGTCTGCAGAAAGAATGGGGTGTCAGCTATGACATGACACCTTGACTTGAACTACAGTAAGTGAAGTAGATCAACACCCGGTAACAGAATTGCGGTAACGGAATTTCATCATCTGTACTACACAGAAGTGCATAATTATGGATATTAATGTAATTCACTTCATGGTGATGTATCCTAAATAGGTACACAAAAAAGGTAGCAATATGCAATATCCTCCTTCGCATTTTTGGGTATTATTCAACACACTGGCTATTATTTTAATGAGATCCGCCCCAAAACAAGACCAAATTTGTTGGTCCGGACCAAATCTGAACCAATCATAGACGTCTATGTTTCACAAGTTTGGACATCAAAGTAGAGCACAGTAGAGTACAGTACAGTAAAGTAGAGTTCAGTACAGTACATTTTAGTGTACTCAACTCTAGTGTGCTCTACTGTGTACTTTACTGAACTGTACAGTACAGAAGTGTACTGCATACTTTCACATACATTCAAAGTAAGTATTCAGATATCTTGATTTCAGAATCCACTCATTTGAAGGGGTGTCCACATACTTTTGTACAGTATATATAGTGTACACTCCAATGCTTTTGGTATTTGAAAATAGTATTTGAAATAAGTATTTAAAAATCATCTTAAATACAATTTGGTCAACTATTGGGTTTTTACAAATAAATATTCAAATACTAAAATAAAAGTACTTGTTTTGGGCTGTGTATTGAAAATACTAAAATACACTGAAAACACCAGATACTCTATTGCACATATATTTGAACCCAGGTCTGCTGTACTGTACTCTACTTTACTGTACTTTGCTCTCCAAACTTGTGAAACATAGACATCTATGATTGGTTCAGATTTGAGGGTCACGTGACCAGCTGGACAAGACGGCGGCTTAGTTTTTCGATCTCTCCAACTTCACATTTTTCTTCTGTTACTATTTTAATACCCAACTAATTTGACAACCGGTGGAACAACAGATAGCCGCCAGTACACACTGAACTCAAACAGGCTGTAAGGGATACAGTTGGAAATTTTGGGACAGAGGTATGAATAATTAATTGAATAAGACACGTTTTTGACAATTTCCAATTATTATTACTCAGTTCTATAGTTTGGGTGGCACCAGTGATTTAAGTAAGAAGGTAATGTCATCTAAAACAATAATCTGTTTTCCATTACGTGGAACTGTGTCCAGAATAAGTAGATCCAAGTAAATGTTTTAGTACCGAATATTGAGCTGATAAGCCAGCACCAACTTTTTGATGGTCCTAGCAGATTTGTTAAACAACAGGTTTCATATTTTGACTAGTTTATGTCTCAGGGACAGTCTGTACAGAACCGTATGTCAATGCAACAGGTCAAAATGACAATGATCACAAGAGAGGGGCTCTGGGATTGTTTAATTAGAAGGTGCCTATTCAGCTTGACGGGACACTATCATCTGATGTGTCTGAAGTATAATTCTGTATACGCATGGGTTTATCAAGACTTCCTGCCCAAGATGCAGTAAACTCGATTAAGATTAATACTTTTTTAGGACTGATTAAAATGTTTATTTTGTTTCTTTCAGGACTTATGGAATGTCCGCTACCAAGTTTTTAAAATATGTTTGCCAATGGTTCTGTGTCTCTCCCTTTGAGGGGCTTCCTGAGGCAGGTGCCTTAGGAGAGCAGTTATTGAGACTGTGTACTGTGCAGTGTAAAGGTGCCCGGATCCAGCTGTTGAGGGAGCTCCCAAATTAAGTAAGGCCATTTTGTTTGTTTTCCCCTACGATTTTTACCACACACACACACACGACAGCACCTACACACAACCCACCTTGATAAGAAATGTACTGAAAAACCCAATGTAAACCTGATACACAAAATGTTTGAAATATCTTTAAATAATGTCTGAGGTACAGGGAAACAAACAATCACTTAATGGGGTTGAATGACCTCTGACCTTTGTTCTGACTTCCTGGTGAGGCCTGATCACCCTCACTAGAAAGACTAGAGACATTGGGTGAGATTTAAATGGGCTATGTAAACACTAGATAATTAGGAAGAAGTTTATAATTTATCAACAGTCCTTTGTGTGATTCGGAACAAGAGAAGGAGAGAGCGCTGCCCCTGAATGAGGGACACCTGTCTCTAGTCTATTTTACCATTACCTTATGGGATACAATTAAGTTAAGATGGAGTCATCAAGGGTTGTAATTCTAATTGTATTTGCTATTTTGATTTAACAGGCAGTGTTGTTGTTTCTTTTGGACGCATGTATCACGATGTGAGTCATGTGTCCAAAAGGGGAATTACTAGTCCCCTGGGGCCCTTTGGTAAATATGCAAATTGATTTTGTTCACGTCTGCCTTTAAAAAGGAAGAAATATATGTTAGTAATAGTTGACAGTTACTCCAAATGGATTGACGTTTTCCCCACCTCAAGTGATATATAAAGAAGTGTATCGAATGATATATGAAGAAGTGTATCGAGTGATATATGAAGAAGTGCTGTTGTTGTTTTGTTTTGTTTGTTTTTGTCTTGCTTCAATACAAATCTCACCAGATTGGGTCTGCTGGATGGTTGGGATTTCTCCCTAAGGATTAGCCATCAACTCCCTGACCCTGTAACTCTGCAGTGAGATCGCCAAGATGATAGGGGAGTATAAGCCGATTTGGGGGGGGAAAATTGATTGAACTGTGTGTTGTTATTCTCTTTCACATTTGTCTTAGACATTTGTATTGGTAGCAGTAATAATTTGTCATACAGTGAATAATTTGTCATTTGTCAGAAAGTAAATAATTTGTCTGGATTTCCTGAATCAGAAATTCCGTAAACTAAACTGTTGTTCTGGTCTGTCCTCTCTCGAGGTTATGGCAAAGGTGACCACAGATGGTATCTAGATGCATGGAAGGGATAATTAAGCCGAGAACAGTGTGAACCTCACCCCCTCTAACCGGCTGAAGTAAAGGCGAAAATAGCGTTCACTATGGTCCTGTCCTTCATCACTTCTACCGTGAGACATGAGTCCGAGTCAGCAACCTGTACACAGCATCCAATCGAAGCTATCAACTGCCTTTTTTCTCAGGAGTGCGACATGAGTCCACGTGGAGTGAGCATGGAGAGAGATCCCATCCAAATGTCTCTCATGCTGCTGGTGTACTGGTAGGACATAATGGACTGTGAAGAACAGTGGTGGCTCAGGTGCCATTGGGAGGACGAACTGAAACGTCAGAAGAGTGAGTGCCGGGAGGGAGGGGGTGGTCAACCGTGCCCGTAATTAATTTAGGCTTACCCAAAATTGTTTATTGATTGTGGAGGTCTGCACACTGTGAAATGTATAGTAATTTAGACTAAGAATGCATTGAAATACCGATCTGTCATTAACATGCCACTAGCAAACAAAAGCTCCAGCTGAAATGTCATTGCCAGAATCATAAATGAAATTGTGTAATGAAGCATATGTGTAACTGTATGAAGCGAAGGTCTTAAGGTTAAAACATTCTACTGCAACGGTTTTACAAGTACAACCCAGAATGAAGGGTTTGAAAGTGTCTGTGGTTTTAAGTGTTGATTTTGTTTACTTACTACTTTGATTGTAGATTTTAGCTTTATTATGATGATTATGAATTAAATTAGACTCACTCCCGCTAATAGAAGTATAACCTTTATTATGATTTATTATAATGCTTACATTAAAATGTAATGATTCTTATCACACAAGTGATAAGAGGATGGAATGGGATGGAACATTTTATGTTTGTGCTTTTCTAATAACCAATTCCTCTGTTCTATGTTTGTGCTTTTCTACTAACCAATGTCTGTGTCAATGCAAGTGACTGATTGAACGAATCCTCACTATCAGTATCTGCCAACCTCACTATCAGTATCTGCAATTTGGTAGTACGGCCAGACCCTTGTTTTGAGAACAAAATATATCTCAGTTTCAAGGTCTCAGCTTAGAGAGAAGAAGCCTCGTGAGGTATTGGTCGGTCACATTTGGTCGGTCACATGAATGAAGCAAACGTTAATGATGAATTAATTATGAGTGATGAATAAGCTAAATCATGCAAATATAACTTGTCTGTATATAAGAGAACTAACGGAACTGCCCCGGGGGAGCTCCTGATCGACATGTGTACTTAGTGCATTGAGTTTGTGGGAACCTCTCCAGCGCGCTGATAATAAAGAATGATACATTTAAGATTGACTTTGAGTGTCCCTGTGTAGAATTTCTACAACAAACCAACTCTGAGAAACTGTACATACAATGGCCCAGCATCCAAACAAAAAGACCCAGTGAACGCCTGAACTCTCCGGTGAAGGAGAAAAACAAATGCTCCATAGCCGATCTACAAGCTATGGATGACACGTGCATGGAGAAACAACGACACTTCGAGCCATAACTTGGACGGCTGGAAGAGATGGGAAAGGCCTCCGACAAGAAATGTTATGCCATTAAAGCTGAGCTGGCTGTTTTGTCGACTAACTTGGCAGCTATCAAGATGGACGTAGTCAGACTTGATACTGAAGTTTAAGTTAACACCAGAGTTGTTGCTAACCACAACACAAGGTTACAAGAAATGGAGGCTAAGCTAGCAGGCTATGAGGACAGGGGAAGACTCTGCAATGTTCGTATCGTCAACCTGGAAGAAGGGAAAGAGGGCACTAATAATTCAGTATATCACGCAGTCAATCCCTCACTGGTGTCCATTGGCAGTTTGAAATCATGCGTGCCCACCGTATCTACGGCTCCCGCAACAACGACAGACCCCACACTCTGATTTTCAACCTCCTCTGCGTTTCACGGATAGGAAGAGACAGGCCGCAATAGTTAAATTCTTCCCCGATTTCAGCAACTACACTGTCAGACTTCGCAAGGGGTTGGCACAGGCTCTGGGCACTGCACGCAACAAAGGTATACAAGCCTTTCTCAGGGTTATCCACAGATCATCGAGGCACCAGTTCCCTACAGCCTGCTCCATGCCTGGGGTCGACAGCCAGGGGGTGGATGGGATTCTGCGACAACTCCGCTGTTTTGACTATTTTAGGGCTGGGGCGGGAGGGAAGGACCTGAGGGGAGTTGTAGTTTTGGTGGTTACTCAAATACCTGCATGATACATTTTCATGGTACAGTTTCGATTTTGGTGTCTTTGTTACTGCATTAACTATCCTTTTTAAAACAAATGTTTGTCATTTTTTCAGTATTTTTGTTAGCTTTTTTTTTAGGGGGTAGATCAGCTTTAATACTGCAGATAGATTGTAACTTCCAATGCAATTGTCTGCATCACTTCCAATCCCAAAGGTTTTTTTCAAGCATATATTTTATATTATATACACACATACATACAAATACACATATATATACAGTGCCCTCCACTATTATTGGCACCCCTGTTTAAGATGTGGTCGAGGACTTCCAAAAATTCTCCTTTTTTTGTTAAACAACATAGAACCCAAATGCAAAAAAAGAGAAAAATCCAACCTTTTATTTAAGTACATTACTTTGGTGGTAAAAAAATAATAATTATTGGCACCCCTAACAATTCCGCTGAAAATTAATTGAATTTTTTAAAAATATATTTTTCTGTAGTTGCTAATGTTGGTCAGGGTATCTAGGAACTTTTAATTAGTAATTCATGACTTCCTGTTTCCCTGGGGTAGAAATATGACGTGACACAGAGGCCTAATTCTCTTACCCATTTGTCAACATGGCAAAGACAAGAGAACACACCATTCAAGTAAGGCAGATTTGTGTCGACCTTCATAAGTCAGGCAATGGCTACAAGAAAATAGCCACTCGCCTTAACTTGCCCGTATCTACAGTCAGAGGAATCATTAAGAAGTTTAAAACAACTGGAACAGTGACAAACAAGGCTGGAAGAGGTCCCAAGTTTATCTTGCCACAACGCACAGTGAGGAGGATGGTAAGAGAAGTAAAAAAAAGTCCTAAGCTCACGGTCACAGAATTGCATCAAAGAGTGGCATCTTGGGGTCACAAAGTCTCCAAAACAACCATCAGACGCTCTCTACATGCCAACAAGCTGTTTGGGAGGCATGCAAGGAAAAAGCCTTTTCTCACTAACACTCACAAACGTAAACGTCTGGAGTTTGCTAAGCGGCACTGGGACTTCAACTGGGATCGTGTGCTTTGGTCAGATGAGACTAAGATTGAGCTTTTTGGCAACAAACACTCTAAGTGGGTCTGGCGTAAAACAGAAGATGAGTATGCCGAAAAGCACCTCATGCCCACCGTGAAGTATGGTGGAGGATCTGTGATGCTGTGGGCCTGTTTCTCTTCCAAAGGCCCTGGGAACCTTGTTAGGGTGCATGGCATTATGAACGCTTTGAACTACCAGGACATTTTAAATAAAAACCTGATGGCCTCTGCCAGAAAGCTGAAGATGGGTCGTCATTGGGTCTTTCAGCAGGATAATGATCCAAAACATGTGGCAAAATCTACACAAAAATGGTTCAGCAGTCACAAACTCAAGGTCCTCCCATGGCCATCTCAGTCCCCAGACCTCAACCCAATCGAAAACCTGTGGGGCGAGCTAAAGAGGAGAGTGCATAAGAGAGGACCCAGGACACTGGATGATCTAGAAAGATTGTGCAAAGAAGAATGGTCAAAGATCCCTCTCTCTGTGTTCTCCAATCTTGTGAAATGTTATAGGAGGAGATTAAGTGCTGTCTTGTTGGCAAAAGGGGGTTGTACAAAGTATTAACATCAGGGGTGCCAATAATTGTGGGACACATGATTTCAAGTTTTCTTTTTCTAAATGTGTGATTATTATTTTTTTTTTACACCAAAGTAATTGTGGAGGGCACTGTGTGTATATATATATATATATATATATATATATATATATATATATATATATATATATATATATATATATATATATATATATATATATATATATATATATATATATATACATATACATATACACATACACACACACATATACACACACACACACACACATATATATATATATACACACACAGTGAGGGAAAAAAGTTTTTGATCCCCTGCTGATTTTGTACGTTTTCTCACTGACAAAGAAATGATCAGTCTATAATTTTAATGGTAGATTTATTTGAACAGTGAGAGACAGAATAACAACAACAAAATCCAGAAAAACGCATGTCAAAAATGTTATAAATTGATTTGCATTTCAATGAGGGAAATAAGTATTTGACCCCCTCTCAATCAGAAAGATTTCTGGCTCCCAGGTGTCTTTAATAAAGGTAACGAGCTGAGATTAGGAGCACACTCTTAAAGGGAGAGCTCCTAATCTCAGCTTGTTACCTGTATAAAAGACACCTGTCCACAGAAGCAATCAATCAATCAGATTCCACTCTCCACCATGGCCAAGACCAAAGAGCTCTCCAAGGATGTCAGCGACAAGATTGTAGACCTACACAAGGCTGGAATGGGCTACAAGACCATCGCCAAGCAGCTTGGTGAGAAGGTGACAACAGTTGGTGCGATTATTCGCAAATGGAAGAACCACAAAATAACTGTCAATCTCCCTCTGCCTGGGGCTCCATGCAAGATCTCACCTCGTTGGAGTTGCAATGATCATGAGAACGGTGAGGAATCAGCCCAGGACTACACAGGAGGATCTTGTCAATGATCTCAAGGCAGCTGGGACCATAGTCACCAAGAAAACAATTGGTAACACACTACGCCGTGAAGGACTGAAATCCTTAAGCGCCCTCAAGGTCCCCCTGCTCAAGAAAGCACATATACAGGCCCGTCTGAAGTTTGCCAATGAACATATGAAAGATTCAGAGAAGAACTGGGTGAAAGTGTTGTGGTCAGATGAGACCAAAATTGAGCTCTTTGCATCAACTCAACTCACCGTGTTTGGAGGAGGAGGAATGCTGCCTATGACCCCAAGAACACCATCCCCACCGTCAAACATGGAGGTGGAAACATTATGCTTTGGGGGTGTTTTTCTGCTAAGGGGACAGGACAACTTTACCGCATCAAAAGGACGATGGACGGGGCCATGTACCGTCAAATCTTGGGTGAGAACCTCCTTCCCTCAGCCAGGGCATTGAAAATGGGTCGTGGATGGGTATTCCAGCATGAAAATGACCCAAAACACACGGCCAAGGCAACAAAGGAGTGGCTCAAGAAGAAGCACATTAAGGTCCTGGAGTGGCCTAGCCAGTCTCCAGACCTTAATCCCATAGAAAATCTGTGGAGGGAGCTGAAGGTTCGAGTTGCCAAACGTCAGCCTCGAAACCTTAATGACTTGGAGATGATCTGCAAAGAGGAGTGGAACAAAATCCCTCCTGAGATGTGTGCAAACCTGGTGGCCAACTACAAGAAACGTCTGACCTCTGTGATTGCCAACAAGGGTTTTGCCACCAAGTACTAAGTAATGTTTTGCAGAGGGGTCAAATACTTATTTCCCTCATTAAAATGCAAATAAATTTATCACATTTTTGACATGCGTTTTTCTGGATTTTTGTTTTGTTATTCTGTCTCTCACTGTTATAATATAATAATATAATATGCCATTTAGCAGACGCTTTATCCAAAGCAACTTACAGTCATGTGTGCATACATTTTTGTGTATGGGTGGTCCCGGGGATCGAACCCACTACCCTGGCGTTACAAGCGCCGTGCTCTACCAGCTGAGCTACAGAGGACCACACTGTTCAAATAAACCTACCATTAAAATTATAGACTGATCATGTCTTTGTAAGTGGGCAAACGTACAACATCAGCAGGGGATCAAATACTTTTTTCCCCTCACTGTAATATATATATATATATATATATCATTTTTAAAAATGTATTTTCCTTTATTAGTTTCCAACCCCACCACCCCTCCCCTAATTGGAGTAAACTAGTGAACAGCAACGCTTAGGCCTCTACTTCCAGCTTTTACATACTGTGGCAGATCAGGGTGTTGGGTCAAGACGTTTACACAGATCAGACACGGACAGAGTATGATTAGCTCGGTTTCAAGGTATTTAATAATAAAATAATCAAAAGAAAAGGATAGGTCTCCCCCATGAGACCCTCTCCAGGATACAGTCTCCAACTACACAGAAGTTATCTTACTTCCCCCAGTCCTCTCTCATGTGCTGCCCTTCTGGCAGCTTTATGGGCCTTGCACAGCTGGTGAGCAATCCGCCCTTAATTACTCACCAGCACCCAATCAGCCCCAATTAGTCCTATCCAGGGAGCCCGTCGAGACCTGGCACGTCCAGCAGATGGAGCCACCGCCTCGTGATGTATACTCCATCTGTTACCAGGCCTCGACGAGTCTCCCCCTGGTGGCTGACCTGCTGTACGCCACAATACTATATACATTTTATGGACACAGTCAATTTTACAATAATTCTATTTTGTTTGTTTTTACTCCTGAACTTCCTCTACCCGCAACCTCTCCGATCATTTTCATTATGTCCATCCGGTGTGCCTCTACATGCCATATCCCCCAAACTGTGCTCTTTTTCACAAAAGCTCTCAACCTATAACCTACTTATTATGGACACAGTATGTTTTACATTAGTTATTTTGTTGTTATTAGTTGTTATTAGTCCCAACCTTCAGCTCCATTCAACACCTCCCATCTATTTCTTAACACCATCCATTTTGGATTTCTACTTGCCATATATTTCTCAACTGTACTGTGATGTTTCACAAAAGTTCTGAACCCTTCTACTCATTGTTTCTACAGATTGTAAATTGAAAATAAACATTTTTGCTAAAAGTATTATTGTATTATATTATTGATCGATTGACTATGACTTTTCAGATCACCCATTAGTGCTATCTGCAGGGTTAGCTCCAGGTAAATATTGCAATCCTTCAGCCATTCCTGGACCTGTGACCAAAAACAAGCTACAAATGGACAGTACCAAAACAAAATGATCTAATGATTCTGTCTCTTCGCAGCAAAATCTGCAGAGCTGGGAAGATTGTATCCCCCATATAAATAACATTCTATTGGTTGCAAGAATTTTATATAATAATTTCAATTGAAAAATCGTACGTTTTTTTATCCGGCGTCGTTTTGCGTATCAGTTCATAAACCATTTGCCATGGAATCGGTACGTCAAAAATCTCTTCCCAACTATTTTGAATTCTTTATGGGACAGCTGTCAATCCTTCGGTCCTTAAATGAAACTGGTATACTTTTTTATTTATCACAATTTTCTTTAACCAATTATGGTCTTTAATGCAGGGCCGACAGACAAGTTCCTTTTTCCCCTTTCCACTTTCCTCTTCCATTTTTGCGGTAATGCTGCAATTATGTGGTTGTAATTTTGGGTAGAGCAGACATTTCCATATGTTTTTGTTCGCTGCATGTGCGACATAACTCCACCAGTTCTACCTATGATATCATTTACAAAGATTATCTATATATAAATATATTTGTTATAATGTTTTTTTATCAATTAGTATATTTGAGTTTAACCACAATATTTGTTGCATTATTTGTTCTGTAGTTTCTGGAGGATTAAATTGAAATTGCAACCAACTTTCTATGGCTTGTTTTAGAAATAGTGATATTTGGGAGATTATTTCCTTTTCAAATAACTGAAAGTGAGAGGTTGTAATCTGAAAAAAGGGGAAAAGGCCATTCTTGAACATGTGAGACAATCATACTAATTTACTAGAGAACCAGCTCGGATTTAAGTATAACTTAATGACGGACCCTAATCTCATACATTTTTATTCAGGTGGCATAAATCTGCCACATAAACGGACGAGCGTATTAGGAGAAAATAAAGTTGTCATGTGATAGCTGCTGAGGAAGAGGCTAAGAAATCTAAAGGAGTGGCTATAGTGGCACGGCGCAATCTTAAAATCATGGTTATTGATCAAATAAAACTCTACGCCGTGAAGGACTGAAATCCTGCAGCGCCCGCAAGGTTCCCCTGCTCAAGAAAGCACATATACAGGCCCGTCTGAAGTTTGCCAATGAACATCTGAAAGATTCAGAGGAGAACTGGGTGAAAGTGTTGTGGTCAGATGAGACCAAAATCGAGCTCTTTGGCATCAACTCAACTCGTCGTGTTTGGAGGAGGAATGCTGCCTATGACCCCAAGAACACCATCCCCACCGTCAAACATGGAGGTGGAAACATTATGCTTTGGGGGTGTTTTTCTGCTAAGGGGACAGGACAACTTCACCGCATCAAAGGGACGATGGACGGGGCCACGTACTGTCAAATCTTGGGTGAGAACCTCCTTCCCTCAGCCAGGGCATTGAAAATAGGTCGTGGATGGGTATTCCAGCATGACAATGACCCAAAACACACAGCCAAGGCAACAAAGGAGTGGCTCAAGAAGAAGCACATTAAGGTCCTGGAGTGGCCTAGCCAGTCTTCAGACCTTAATCCCATAGAAAATCTGTGGAGGGACCTTAAGGTTCGAGTTGCCAAACGTCAGGCTCAAAACCTTAATGACTTGGAGAAGATCTGCAAAGAGGAGTGGGACAAAATCCCTCCTGAGATGTGTGCAAACCTGGTGGCCAACTACAAGAAATGTCTGACCTCTGTGATTGCCAACAAGGGTTTTGCCACCAAGTGCTAAGTCATGTTTTGCAGAGGGGTCAAATACTTATTTCCCTCATTAAAATGCAAATAAATTTATAGCATTTTTGACATGCGTTTTTCTGGATTTTTTTGTTGTTATTCTGTCTCTCACTGCTCAAATAAACCTACCATTAAAATTATAGACTGAACATGTCTTTGTCAGTGGGCAAACGTACAAAATCAGCAGGGGATCATATTATTTTTTCCCCTCACTGTATCTAATTGGTGCATATGCCGATACAAGAGCAATTTTCCTAACTGTTTCGAAAGGGAATTCTATGACTTGTTGAACAACAACTTTTTAGGATTTGACAGATCACCGTTTCATAAAAGGAGGCGATTTTAATCATGATTTAGACAGGACTAGTGTAAATGAAAGTGGTGAGCAGAGAGAGGCTGGCAACCCATGCTCTGCGTGCTTGGGCTAATGACACAGGTGTTATTGATGTTTGGCACACTGTTAATCCTTAAGTTAGAGATTTCTTGTCTTTCTTCTAGACATAAATCTTTCTCTAGGATTTATTTCATTTTTGCAACGAAATATTTTTTCTTCAAATATATCAAATTCTTCTCTGTTAACCATTGCTCTCTCTGATCACGGGGCTGTCGTGTGCTCAGTATCTCTGGGTGATTCTCCTTCTCGCGCTGCCAGATGGCGCTTTAACAATACATTAGTAAGAAATTAGGGTTTTAGTTTGCAGTTTGAAGAGAAACATTTGGGCACCTTACTGTTAGACATGATGCAGTTTTCCATTAATGAAGGCTCTTTCTCTAGGAACATTAATATTACAGTTCTCTCTCTCCTATTGAAAAAAGGACCCAACTGAGGCAATTTTAGACCTTGGTCGTTGCTCAACTCCGATGTTAAGATCTATGCTAAGGTGCTCTCTCGGCGCATCCAAGCCCATACAGTGCCTTGCAAAAGTATTCATCCCCCTTGGCGTTTTTTTCATATTTTGTTGCATTACAACCTGTAATATAAATGGATTTTTATTTGGATTTCATGTAATAGACATACACAAAATAGTCGAAATTGGTGAAGTGAAATGAAAAAAATAACTTGTTTCAAAAACGTCAGAAAAATAAATAACAGAAAAGTGGTGCGTGCATATGTATTCACCCTCTTTGCTATGAAGCCCCTAAATAAGATCTGGTGCAACCAATTACCTTCAGAAGTCACATAATTAGGTAAATAAAGTCCACTTGTGTGCAATCTAAGTGTCACATGATCTGTCACATGATCTCAGTATATATACACACACCTGTTCTGAAAGGCCCCAGAGTCTGCAGCACCACTAAGCAAGGGGCACCACCAAGCAAGGGGCACCACCAAGCAAATGGGCACCATGAAGACCAAGGAGCTCTCCAAACAGGTTAGGGACACAGTTGTGGAGAAGTACAGATCAGGGTTGGGTTATAAAAAAATATCAGAAACTTTGAACATCCCACAGAGCACCATTAAATCCATTATTAAAAAATTGAAAGAATATGGCACCACAACAAACCTGCCAAGAGAGGGCCGCCCACCAAAACTCACGGACCAGGCAAGGAGGGCATTAAATCAGAGAGGCAACAAAGAGATCAAAGATAACCCTGACGGAGCTGCAAAGCTCCACAGCGGAGATTGGAGGATCTGTCCATAGGACCATTTTAAGCCGTACACTCCACAGAGCTGGGCTTTACAGAAGAGTGGCCAGAAAAAAGCCATTGCTTATAGAAAAAATAAGCAAACACGTTTGGTGTTCACCAAAAGTCATGTGGGAGACTCCGCAAACATATGGAAGAAGGTACTCTAGTCAGATGAGACTAAAATTGAGCTTTTTGGCCATCAAGGAAAACGCTATGTCTAGTGCAAACCCAACACTTCTCATCACCCCGAGAACACCATCCCCACAGTGAAGCATGGTGGTGGCAGCATCATGCTGTGGGGATGTTTTTCGTCGGTAGGGACTGGGAAACTGGGCAGAATTGAAGGATGCCGCTAAATACAGGGAAATTCTTGAGGGAAACCTGTTTTAGTCTTCCAGAGATTTGAGACTGGGATGGAGGTTCACCTTCCAGCAGGACAATGACCCTAAGCATACTGCTAAAGCAACACTCGAGTGGTTTAAGGGAAACATTTAAATGTCTTGGAATGGCCTGGTCAAAGCCTAGACCTCAATCCAATTTAGAATCTGTGGTATGACTTACAGATTGCTGTACACCAGCGGAACCAATCCAACTTGAAGGAGCTGGAACAGTCTTGCCTTGAACAATGGGCAAACATGCCAGTGGCTAAATGTGCCAAGCTTATAGAGACATACCCCAAGACTTGCAGCTGTAATTGCTGCAATTTTGTGTCTCATTTCTTGTTTGTTCCACAATAAAAAATATTCTGCATCTTCAAAGTAGTAGGCATGTTGTGTAAATCAAATGAGACAAACCCCCCAAAAATCATTTTTAATTTCAGGTTGTAAGGCAACAAAATAGGAAATATACATTTTAAATCTCCTGCTGCAGTACTTTCACTGGATGCATTGAATGGCCATATCTATGGTATTTTCTTGAGGCTATGGGCGTTGGTAATGGGTTCATTTTAATGAAAGGTGCTCTATGTCAATCCAACAGCAATGGTTTTGACAGGTAAGAATTGCTCTCCTCTATTTCCTGTTTCTAGAGGAAGTTGCCAGGGATGCCCACTGTTGCCACTGCTTTTCTCCCGCTCTCTTGAACCTTCAGCCCAGACTGTACGTCAGTCTACCCTTGTCTCGCCGATAACAATCCACATCATATCTCTCTATATGCCGATGACGTATTGCTGTTTGTTGAGGATGCATCTAAGTCTATTCCTCAACTGTTATCGATATTTGATCATTTTGGTAGCTTATCGGGTTTTAAGATCAAATGGCTGAAATCTGCGCTATTGCCACTCAATGATGCTGCAAAGTCCGCCAGCCTTCCTGCTTTTATGCCAGTAGTTCAGCATTTCAAATATATTGGTATTGAAATCTCCCCCTCCTTAAATGTTATTGCTAAGAGTAACTACACTACAACTTCGAACTCGAATTGCTATTATTAAAATGAATGTGCTTCCCTGTGTAAAATCTTTCAGCTCAATGTTGCCGCTTGCTCCCCCTGTGGGATACTGGAGTAAACTACATTCAGCTATCTCCAAGTTCATTTGGAAGGGCAAACACCCGCATGTGAAGTTCTCAACAATACAAAGGGGTACACTAGATGGAAGTTTCTCTCTTTCAAATGTTTAACTATATTACTGGTCTTTTAGTTTATGCCCTCTAGTCACCTGGTTTGATTCCTCCTCTACTGTGTCATGGCGTGCTTTGGAGGGAAGTTTGGTGCACCCTTGGAGACTCCAAGATCTCCTATTTTTGAATATTTATATAAAACAATGCAAGCTACGCTTTGGTCCCACTATAACAAAGCAGGTTACCTGGCGCACCGCAGAAAAATGATGTAATATCTCATGTAAATGGAATGTGGGTTCCCCTATTTTCACCCAACTCAGGTCTTTTACTTGGTCATCAACAAATACATTTTCCTCAATGGAAGAGTAGGAGAATTCATGTATTAGGTGATATCTACAGGGATGATTGCCTTCGTTCATTCCAAGATCTTAAAGATAGATTTAAAACTACCTGCCTCATCATCTTTCTTTTATTTACACCTTAGGCCTGCCCTTGGGGCTCATGGTGTTCCTTGGCAGTCAGCTTTGACGCAACATCCTATGCATAAGACTGAGTTTAACGAGCAAAACAAAAGGGTCTAGTTTCCAAATGTATCATTTACTGTCAACTTCGTATAAACCTCTTCCTCTCGATACTCTATGGAAAAGAGACCTTCCAGGTTTGGATCAATATTTTAAATTGGGACCGCGTGTGATCTAATATTCGACAATCGTCTCAGAATCCTGATCAACAGCTCCATTATAATTTTGTACGGAGGACTTATCTAACTCCTCGTAAGCTGTTTCAAGTGAACATTTTTGAATGATGCTTCCTGTACATAGTGCCATCATAATGAACCTGGCTTGGGAATGCCCTCTGGTATCTATACAGAACAAAAATATAAACGCAACACGTAAAGTGATGGTCCCATGTTTCATGAGTTGAAATAAAAGATCCCAGACATTTTCCATACGTACGAAAACCTTATTTCTCAAATTTTGTGCACATATTTGTTTATATCCCTGTTATTGAGCATTTCTCATTTGCCAAGATAATTCATCCACCTGACAGGTGTGGCATACCAAAAAGTTTATTAAACAGCATGATCATTACACAGGTGCACTTTGTGCTGGGGACAATAAAAGGTCACTAAAATGTGCAGATGTCTCAAGTTTTGAGGGAGCGTGCAATTGGCAAGCGGACAGCAGGAATGTCCACCAGAGCTGTTGGCAGAGAATTTAATGTGCATTTCTCTACCATAAGCCGCCTCCAACTTCGTTTTAGAGAATTTGGCAATATGTCCAACCGGCCTCACAATTGCAGACCACGTGCAACCACGCCAGCCCAGGACCTCCACATCCGAATTCTAAACCTGCAGGAACGTCTGAGACCAGCCATCCGGACAGCTGATGAAACTGAGGAGTATTTGTGTCTGTAATGAAGCCCTTTTGTGGGGAAAAACTATTTCTGATTGGCTGGGCCTGGCTCCCCAGTGGGTGGACCTGGCTCCCAAGTGGGTGGGCCTACAGTGCATTCAGAAAGTATTCAGACCCCTTCAGATTTTCAACATTTTGTTAGGTTACAGCCTTATTCTAAAATTAAATAAAAATTGTTCCTCAATTTACACACAATACCCCATAATGACAAAGCGAAAACAGGTTTAGAAATGTTTGCAAATTTATTAAAAATAAAAACAAATACCTTATTTACATAAGTATTCAGACCCTTTGCTATGAGACTAGAAATTGAGCTCAGGTGCATCCTGTTTCCATTGATCATCCTTGATATTTCTACAACTTGATTGGAGTCCACCTGTGGTAAATTCATTTGATTGGACATGATTTGGAAAGGCACACACCTGTCTAGATAAGGTCCCACAGTTGACAGTGCAGCATGTCAGAGCAAAAAGCAAGCCATGAGGTCGAAGGAATTGTCTGCAGAGCTCCGAGACAGGATTGTGTCAAGGCACAGATCTGGGGAAGGGTACCAAAAAATGCCTGCAGCATTGAAGGTCCCCAATAACACAGTGGCCTCCATCATTCTTAAATGGAAGAAGTTTGGAACCAACACTCTTCCGAGAGCTGGCCGTCCGGCCAAACTGAGCAATCAGGGGAGAAGGGCCTTGGTCAGGGAGGTGACCAAAAACTTGGTCACTCCACTCTGTGGAGATGGGAGAACCTTCCAGAAGGACAACAATCTCTGCAACACTCCACCAATCAGGCCTTTATGGTAGATTGGCCAGATGGAAGCCACTCCTCAGTAAAAGGCACATGACAGCCCACTTGGAGTTTGCCAAAAGGCACCTAAAAGACTCTCAGACCATGAGAAACAAAATTTTCTGGTCTGATGAAACCAAGTTTGAACTCTTTGGCATGAATGCCAAACGTCACGTCTGGAGGAAACCAGGCACCGCTCATCACCTGGCTAATACCATCGCTACTGTGAAGCATGGTGGTGGAAGCATCATGATGTGGGGATGTTTTTTTAGCAGCAGGGACTGGGAGACTAGTCCGGATCGAGGGAAAGATGAACGGAGCAAAGTACAGAGAGATACTTGATGAAAACCTGCTCCAGAGCAGGACAGACTGGGGAGAAGGTTCACCTTCCAACAGAACAACGCGATCCTAAGCACACAACCAAGACAACGCAGGAGTGGCTTCAGGACAAGTCTCTGAATGTCCTTGAGTGGCCCAGCCAGAGCCTGGACTTGAACCTGATCGAACATCTCTGGAGAGACCTGAAAATAGCTGTGCAGCGACGCTCCCCATCCAACCTGACAAAGCTTGCGTGGATCTGCAGAGAAGAATGTGAGAAACTCCCCAAATACAGGTGTGCCAAGCTTGTAGCGTCATACCCAAGAAGCTATAATCGGCTATAATTTGGCTATAATCGCTGCCAAAGGTGCTTCAACAAAGTACTGAGTAAAGGGTCTGAATACTTATGTAAATGTGATATCATTTCTTTATTTTTAATGAATTTGCAAAAATGTCTAAATCTGTTTTTGCTTCGTCATTATGGGGTATTGTGTGTAGATTGATGAGGGAAAAAAACAATTTAAATCAATTTTAGAATTATGCTGTAACGTAACAAAATGTGGAAAAAGTGAAGGGGTCTGAATACTTTCCGAATACACTGTATGCACTCCCAGGCACACCCATGCCATGTGAAATCCGTAGATTAGGGCCTAATGAATTCATTTCAATTGACTGATTTCCTTATATGAAATGTAACTCAGTAAAATCGTTGAAATCGTTGCGTTTATATTTCTGTATCTCCTTTTGTTTTACTTTTAAAACAAAAGGGGGTGTAACATCCTTTTGTAGGTATGTATTCATGTTTGCTGACAATTATTATTACTAAATAAACATTTGATCACAAAAAAAAAAGATTGGTTCAGATTTGTTCCGGACTGGACCCAATCTGAACCAAACATGGACGTCTATGTTTGGGTCAAATCAAGGCCGGTCCAGATAGTACAAAAAAAAGAAACGTCTGTTGACGTTGAAATCGAGGCCAGGGCGGACTGACCAAATTTCAACTACTTTTCAACGTTCATGGACATCCGGTGTTCAGTGAGTGAGGATGCTGGTTACAGTAAATGGAAAGAGAGGGGGCTCATGTTTATGTGTGAGTGTGCGTGAGAGATTGTCCAGACTATTTTCACACTTGCTTTGACCACCATATGAGAGAAAGAAAAGTAATGAGCTGAACATAACAGTATGACAGTGGAAGGGAGGACTGTAGCAGGTGACCCATCTGGTTTGTGACTACTATAATTTCCCATTGTAGTCAAATCAATTGCAGTAAATCCGTTAGTAATTGTTCAGAAATTCTGTTACCAATTTTAATCACTTAATATATTAAACCAAATAGATATACAATACCAGTCAAAAGGTTGGACACACCTACTCATTCAAGGGTTTTTCTTTATTTTTACTATTTTCTACATTGTAGAATAATAGTGAAGACATCACAACTAGAAACAAAACAAAAAAACAGTTAGTATCTGGTGTGACCACCATTTGCCTCATGCACCGCGATATCTCCTTCGCATAGAGTTGATCAGACTGTTGATTGTGGCCTGTGGACTGTTGTCCCACACCTCTTCAATGGCTGTGTGAAGTTGCTGGATATTGGCCGGAACTGGAACACGCTGTCGTACACGTCGATCCAGAGCATCCCAAACATGCTCAATAGGTGACATGTCTGGTGAGTATGCAGGCCATGGAAGAACTGGGACATTTTCAGCTTCCAGGAATTGTGTACAGATCCTTGCGACATGGGGCCATGCATCATCATGCTGAAACATGAGGTGATGGCAGCAGACGAACGGCACGACAATGGGCCTCAGGATCTCATCCACGGTATCTCTGTGCATTCAAATTGCCGAAGATAAAATGCAATTGTATTTTCTTTGTCAGTAGTTTATGCCTGCCCATAACATAATCCCATTCTGTTCACAACGTTGACATAAGCAAATCGCTCACCCTCACAATGCCATACAACCGGTCTGCCATCTGCCCGGTCCAGTTGAAACCGGTATTCATCCATGAAGAGCACACTTCTCCACCGTGCCAGTGGCCATCGAAGGAGAGCATTTGCCCACTGAAGTTGGTTACGACGCCGAACTGCAGTCAGGTTAAGACCCTGGTGAGGACGACATGCACGCAGATGAGCTTCCCTGAGACGGTACGACAGTTTCTGCAGAAATTCTTCAGTTGTGAAAACCCACAGTTTCGTGAGCTGTCCGGGTGGATGGTCTCAGACGATCCCGCAGGTGAAGAAGCCGGATGTGGAGGTCCTGGGCTGGCGTGGTTACACGTGGTCTGCGGTTGTGAGGCCGGTTGGACGTACTGCAAAATTCTCTAAAACGACGGAGGTGGATTATGGTAGAGAAATTAACCAAATGATCTGGCAACAGCTCTGGTGGACATTCCCGCAGTCAGCATGCCAATTGCATCTCCCTCAAAACTTGACACATCTGTGGCATTGTGTTGTGTGACAAATCTGCACATTTTAGAGTGGCCTTTTATTGTCCCCAGCACAACATGCACCTGTGTAATGACCACACTGTTTAATCAGCTCCTTGCCACACCTGTCAGGTGGATGGATTATCTTGGCAAAGGAGAAATGCTCACTAACAGGGATGTAAACAAATTTGTGTAAAAACATTTAGAGAAATAAGCTTTTTGTGCATACATTACATTTCTGGGATTTTTCATTTCAGTTCATTAAACATGGGACCAACAATTTACATGTTGCGTTTATATTTTTGTTCAGTGTAAATATAAGTGTTGATATTAGTTGGCAGGGGTCTTTTCTCCAACATTACTGTGTTTTAATGTATTTCTAATACCTTTTAAGACATTTTCTGGTAGATGTTTTCAAAGACACCTTTTCCATCTACTTGCCCAGAAATCAAAGCCTTACCTTATTACTAATATTTAAGATAAAAAATAGTTTAAAATCTATATATGCCTTAATTTCACAAAAATATACTAATAGCTTTCATTTGACACCAGATTTGACATATTCCTAATGATCTTCACGTTGAAGCTCATGGGTTGGGTCCTTTTACATGGAAAGGCCCAGTAATGTCTTACATTGCAGAATTTTTTATAAAACCAACAAATGTTGTCAAATAATCTCAGTACTTACTCTGTCAAAGGTGTCCCTTTCGATTTCTCCCCATTTCCTGCCGTCAAAGGAAGTAATGCGCATTCTTTCTTCTGTCAACAGCTCTTTGGGAACATAGCTGTTGAGGACCCGCTGGAGACGGTAGGTACGAGACACTGAGATGTCATTGACACACATAAATCCTGAAAAACATGCCATAACAAATAAACACCAGATCAATGCAAACTGAAATAGGACTGGAAAAAAAAGCTTTACCAGTCTGTGAATTAGACAGAACTACAACAATGTGTTTGCATCATATCTGCTAGACCGTCTTACGGATGGCCTGTGTCTGGAGCAGGGCCAGGGTCTTGCCCCCTGGGGCGGCACAGACGTCCAGCACAGTGTGTCCTTCCTGGACATCCAGGGCTAGGGCAGGCAAAACGGACGCCGCATCCATGAGGTAGTACCCAAGCATACCATACAAGTCGGGTCTAGGACGAGAATGGGAATTTAAAATCATACAACTTGGCATCAAATAATATCACAATATACAGTGAGGGAAAAAAGTGTTTGATCCCCTGCTGATTTTGTATGTTTGCCCACTGACAAAGAAATGATCAGTCTATAATTTTAATGGTAGGTTTATTTGAACAGTGAGAGACAATAACAAAATAATCCAGAAAAACGCATGTCAAAAATGTTATAAATTAATTTGCATTTTAAATGAGGGAAATAAGTATTTGACCCCCTCTCAATCAGAAAGATTTCTGGCTCCCAGGTGTCTTTTATACAGGTAACGAGCTGAGATTAGGAGCACACTCTTAAAGGGAGTGCTCCTAATCTCAGTTTGTTACCTGTATAAAAGACCCCTGTCCACAGAAGCAATCAATCAATCAGATTCCAAACTCTCCACCATGGCCAAGACCAAAGAGCTCTCCAAGGATGTCAGGGACAAGATTGTAGACCTACACAAGGCTGGAATGGGCTACAAGACCATCGCCAAGCAGCTTGGTGAGAAGGTGACAACAATTGGTGCGATTATTCGCAAATGGAAGAAACACAAAATATCTGTCAATCTCCCTCAGCCTGGGGCTCCATGCAAGATCTCACCTCGTGGAGTTGCAATGATCATGAGAACGGTGAGGAATCAGCCCAGAACTACACAGGAGGATCTTGTCAATGATCTCAAGGCAGCTGGGACCATAGTCACCAAGAAAACAATTGGTAACACACTACGCCGTGAAGGACTGAAATCCTGCAGCGCCCGCAAGGTCCCCCTGCTCAAGAAAGCACATATACAGGCCCGTCTGAAGTTTGCCAATGAACATCTGAATGATTCAGAGAAGAACTGGGTGAATGTGTTGTGGTCAGATGAGACCAAAATCGAGCTCTTTGGCATCAACTCAACTCGTCGTGTTTGGAGGAGGAGGAATGCGGCCTATGACCCCAAGAACACCATCCCCACCGTCAAACATGGAGGTGGAAACATTATGCTTTGGGGGTGTTTTTCTGCTAAGGGGACAGGACAACTTCACTGCATCAAAGGGACGATGGACGGGGGCATGTACCGTCAAATCTTGGGTGAGAACCTCCTTCCCTCAGCCAGGGCATTGAAAATGGGTCGTGGATGGGTATTCCAGCATGACAATGACCCAAAACACACAGCCAAGGCAACAAAGGAGTGGCTCAAGAAGAAGCACATTAAGGTCCTGGAGTGGCCTAGCCAGTCTCCAGACCTTAATCCCATAGAAAATCTGTGGAGGGAGCTGAAGGTTCGAGTTGCCAAACGTCAGCCTCAAAACCTTAATGATTTGGAGAAGATCTGCAAAGAGGAGTGGGACAAAATCCCTCCTGAGATGTGTGCAAACCTGGTGGCCAACTACAAGAAACCTCTGACCTCTGTGATTGCCAACAAGGGTTTTGCCACCAAGTACTAAGTAATGTTTTGCAGAGGGGTCAAATACTTATTTCCCTCATTAAAATGCAAATAAATGTATAACATTTTTGACATGCGTTTTTCTGGATTTTTTTGTTGTTATTCTGTCTCTCACTGTTCAAATAAACAATCCATTAAAATTATAGACTGATCATGTCTGTCAGTGGGCAAATGTACAAAATCAGCAGGGGATCAAATACTTTTTTCCCCTCACTGTAGGAGACAAGTAGCTTCAGTAAATTGTGATGATGAAACAGACTGAAGCCCAGATTTCAGCATTTTCCTCTCTCGTGTCTGTAAAAGAAGCGTTGCAAATCTCACCTAGAAGGCTTGAATCTGGAGATGTCTCCCCCGGGGAAAACAAAGCACTTGATATTGGTGCTGAGGTGAGGAGGAGCCACATCTTGACTGACACCAACAGACTCGATGGTTGAAGAGTTATCGTGGGGAGGAAATCCAGGCGCCTGCAGTCTCTCCAGAGCTCCTCCACCAACTGGTTGGCTGACAAAGTCTCTACATCCCTGGGACTGCAGGTCTGCGATGACCCCTTCTGGGGTGGCGAAGTTGTTTACCAGGGCCCCGTACTTCTGCTCACAAAGCATGCTGACGCGGACAGAGGGCCACTGCTCTCTCAGCTGTAGGCTGTAGGTGGCATCAAAGTTCTGTAAGGCCAGGTTTGTGGCAGGGTACTTGGGCTGAGAGCCAGCCTGTTGAAAGAGGATTTGGAAGAATTTAGAAAAATGTCGCTCGTTTTGTGCCCTGGTCTACCAACCGGTGCACAGGGTTGGGTAAAGCTGAATTTAGGCCAGGGGTATTCAACCCTTACCCTACGAGGTCCAGAGCCTGCTGGTTTTCTCTTCTACCTGATACTTAATTGCACCCACCTGCAAGCTTCAATTACGTTTTGCTAAGAAGGATTGGTGGGGAGTAAATCCAGACCTGTTTATATTTCTTAAACTGCATCCTTATTTTATTTGTTAATGGTGGTTGGCAACCAAAAAGGTCAAATGCATCCTTCCTTCATCCATTCCTTGAAGTAATCATTGATTAGACAGGTGATCACTAGGGCTCCTCCACCACATGGCTTTCACCTGTCCACTCATTCCTAATTAGTGACAAGCCTACGAGGGAGGAAGCAAGGAGGGCCCAGCACTTCAGCACATTATTAGCTGGAAGCGTCACAGAGAAACGCAGATAAAAACCAAAGCTGCTATAACGACATTGGAAACCATCTCTGATAAAAACATACTTTGGTAAGGTCACCATCGTTCCTTCTAATGTTAGTCTTTTCTCTCTGTTTTATGAAAGGAAATGTAAAATCCTGTGTTGACATCGCTAATTAACATTTCCCCTCTGACACATCTTTCAGTGCCATAAGCTCACTGCATGCTTGGGCGACGGCACGTTGTAGTAGTAGGCAAAAAGAAACCTGGATCAAAATAAGATAGAGACCATGCTTATCGGTATGTGCTTCTTTGCAAGGTGTTTGCTGTAAGATGGACAGACGAGGGGAGACAGGAGAAAGACAGTGCCGCTACAAGGCCGTCTGAGGAGAGGAGGGCAAGGAGATCATTTTCCTTGGCTAGACCACAGCCAACGACAGGGAATCCACACGAGCGGTGGTACACTATGCCGATCGGTCACGTATTCAAGGTGATCTCTTCGATACCAGAGAAAATGGGATGGGTCTTCTCCTGTAAGTTGTAGGTTGCCATCTAGCAGATAGCTAGCCATCTCTCTATCTGGATATTTCTAGCTAGCTACCCGTCCTGCTATCTACAGATTGGTTTTATCACATTATTTGGTGTACAAAGATTTTTGGTGTCCATTACTGGGCGTCACATGAAAGCTCCATACAAACAGACGCCATAGATTTTTCAACTAACCTGGTCTTACATTTTTTACATTTTAGTCATTTAGCAGACGCTCTTATCCAGAGCGACTTAGTTAGCGCATACATTATTTTATCGAACCCACAACCCTGGCGTTGCAAACGCCATGCTCTACCAACTGAGCTACATCCCCTGCCGGCCATTCCCTCCCCTACCCTGGACGACGCTGGGCCAATTGTGCGCCGCCCCATGGGTCTTGGTGATACTTTTCATCGAAAACTAGGAAAGTATCTTATAAATATCAGTTTTCAGTTGCAGGTGGTTCTACAAAACCCAGCGAAAACTCGGAAACATTAAAACCATGTTTTGTAGTGCGGGAGGTTCCTCCCCATCTTAGCTGCCGCACATCTAGCATTTCCCAGCATTTTTGCAGGAACTAGTCGTTTCTTAGCCCAACCGGCCGGCTATTATTCCTTTTACATTGTTTGTCATCTGCGTACAACTGGACTGTATGCAGCCAGCTATACACGTGTTCCCCGGCGACCGGCTCGTACATAAAACATCCTCCATTCAGGCTGCAAGTGTCGGTTATCTACTTAACGAGCTTTAATGGTGAGCCGCCTGTAAATGTAAAAAGAAAATATGCACACTATCTTTAATAAAACAACTTTCCACCACGCTAATGGCTAATGCTTCTTCCTGATGTTCAGCCAATCAGGTTGCCGCAGTTTGTTGTTTACCCCTGGCTGAACAGTGTGCAACATCCAGAAGTAGCATTAACCACTAATTTAACCACAATTCTTTAAGATTCTTTAATTATTTTTTATTTTTTGGGGCTCGCCATTAAAGCTAGTTAACGAGGAAATCAATGCCATTGCTGCCTGAATGGAGGATGTTTTATGTAGGAGCCATCGCCGGGGGGACATGAGTGTATAGCCGGCTGCATACAGTCCATTTAGACAGATGATGTTAAATGAATAATAGCGCCATCTGCCGGCCGGTTGGGCTAGTCGTTTCTATGCGACACGGCCATGTGTAGAAGTAGATGACAGCATCACACAGTGAGACCAAAACAAAGATCTATAGACATGCAAGAGGCCTATTTCACTCGATACAAAACATGGATGTAATCTTTCTGAATTTGTGTTTTTTGTAGAACCACCTGCAACTGATGAAGATGAGGTGGAACTGGAAAATGGACAGGGATTTGTCTGTTCTAAATGCACCACCATCAAGCATCTTAGGGAAGAGATCCTCTGGCTGTTCGCTCGGCTGCGAGAAAAGGAAAACCTGCTTTCTAAGTACACCGACCTTGCTGTTACTCAGGCAAACCAAATCTCCGTTTTAAATGCCTCCTATAGCAAAGCTGTCAATGAGTCAGGCGGTGTTGATCTGTCCCAATCCAACAGACAAGATGTTAAACTCAACTCTGCGGCCCAAGGGAGACTGGACACTCGCAAGGCATAGGAGATCAGGAAGGCAGTCTGGGCACCCATCTATCCGAGAAGATCCGATCCAGCTATCGAACAGCTTTGCCCTGCTTGAGACGGACCTACCAGCCCTGGGAGTCAGCACGGATCATGGGTGTATACCAATAGCCAACGGCCGCCCAGTGGCACCCACCCCCAAGGCCGCCACAGTTCAGCAGGTCGTTTCCCCATCGGATTCCATTATGACCACCATCATTGTGGGCAGCTAACGAAGGTCCACTGTCACCCAGGATCCCGTGTCCAACTCTCTCCTGCCCACGGTTCTGGCCAACTACTCCAATATTGACACCATCGTCACTCACGTAGGTTGTAACGACCTTAGTTTTCGGCGATCTGAGAGAGGACTACAAACATTTATTAAAGACCCTCACTAGCACAGGGAAGATAATAATTATCGCCTGGCCACCTCCCGTGCTACCAGAGGGGTTCGGAACGTTTCAGCGGACTCTTTGCCCTAAACGAGTACCTGAAGAAACTTTGCAACGACAGGAATGTCTCTTTTTGTGACAACTTTGATTTGATGTGGGAGCGACCAGCACTTTTTAAAAGAGACGGGATTCACCATAGCCGCAGGCGTTCCAGGATTATTTCCAGCAACATTGTAAACGGTTTTAGAGACTAACAGACAGGGTCTGGTAGTGCTCCAGTTCTCCCTGTCAGAATAAGCAAGAGGACTTGGAAACCATATCAACTCCTATAGAAATGGCACTATGGTTATTGTGAGTAACCTAATTTATGTTCCTTTAACTCCGCCTTCTAGTGAGTTTATAGAAACTGTCATCTCCTACCATTCTGACTGATTGGAGACGGTCAGAAAACGTGGTTGTAACGCTAATAATTTGGTTGTTATTCCATTGGTTACCTCTAGGCAGATGCCCCAGGGGCAGAGTGGCCCACACTCATTGAATATGACACTTTTAAAATGTTAGCGCAATCACTAGTAAAACCTCTCTCGTGAATGACCTCATTACTGAGCGCAAAGTTGATTGCATGTTTCTCACTGAAACGTGGCTGTCTTCAGACTGTAGTGCCGCCCTTATTGAAGCCTCCCCCTGGACTACAGCTTTTCATACTCTATCATAAAAGGGGAAATGGGTGGGACGCCAGCCTCTATTTTTATTAATGCTCTCAGGACATTTAATTTGGCAACTTTGGGTCTTTGAGCATCATGCTATACTGTTTAAATGTCAGCCACCAGTGCTGGCCAAAACCCTGTATAGGCCAACAAAGCACTGCCCCACTTTCTTTACTGATTTCCTGAACTATTGTCTATTGTCCTTGAGAACTATGATAAAATCATTGTGTTGAGTGATTTTAATATTCATGTTGACTCCAAGGCCATTGAATTTATGAATCTTTTGAGCTCTATGGACTTTATCCAACATGTTACTGGGCCCACCCATAACTGCGGCCATACTCTGGACCTGGTTATTACCAAGGAGCTTTCTATTGACATATCCTCTATTGTTGATGTTGCTTTATCTGATCACCACTGTGCATTTTTTACTACATTGTTGACCATAGCACAGGGTAACACTGAACGCATTAAGAAAAGCTATCTTACCTCTGAAGTTGCTACAGATTTTATTGAGTGTATTAACAACACTCGATAACCTAGTCGGCCTTCCTCTTGTGATGATTTAGTTGATAAGTTTAATAGCAAATTACAGGCAACCATTGATTCCATAGCTCCAGTAAAGTTGAAAAAGGCCACATCCAAACAGAGAGCACCTTGGATGAGTGAGGGAACAAATTAAAGAGAAATGGCAGAAAGGTAGAGCGGAAGTGGAGAAAGTCAAAGTTGCAGGTCCATTATGATATTCTGGGAGAGCAACTTGGTATATATAACAAGGCAATTAGAAATGCCAGACAGGCTAATTTAATCAGAATAATTTGAGCGTGCTCTTCTCGACCATAAATACTACCCCTGCAAACCCATGTGAACTTTCCTCCACATCTAAATGTGAAGAGTTTGAAATATGCTGCAGAGGTAAGATAAAACATTAGGCTGGGTATCAGTCAAGCAAGACCTGATGAGAAGTTTGATATGTGCCCTAGCCTACCACGCAAAGGCACTATGGATTTATTTTCCCTGGTTGACACAGACATGCTCAAAACTAAAGCCTTCTACCTGCCTTCTCGATCCTATCCCCACCACCTTCTTCAAAACAGTTTTTACTTGCATAGCTGAAGAAGTGCAAGCTATTGTTAATCACTCCCTGTTCACAGGCACTTTCCCCACTGCACTAAAAACTGCTATGGTGAAACCCCTTCTGAAGAAAAGTAATCTAGATTCTTCAGCTCTTAGCAATTTTTGGCCAATCTCCAACCTTCCATTTTTAAGCACAATTCTGGAGAAATGTGTTTTCAAACAATTAAATAATAGTATTTTTGAAAACTTCCAATCTGGTTTTCGGGCCCACCACAGACAGCCATAGTTAAAGTGGTAAATGATCTTAGAGCCAAAGCAGATACCAAACAGCTCTCTGTCCTTGTACACTTGGATTTAAGTGCTGCATTAGACACTCTTGACCATGATGTCCTTCTGGGCAGACTGGAGAGGTGGGTTGGCCTAAATTGGTTTAGGACCTATTTAACCGGTCAGAAGTTTGTCACCCTCTGTGAATATAACTCAGAGAAAATACATATCACATGTGGCGTTCGACAAGGTTTGATTTTGGGTCTGTTACTGTTCAAAAATATAAAACGCAACATGCAACAATTTCAAAGATTTTACTGTTACAGTTCATATAAGGACGTCATTCAACTGAAATAAATCAATTAGGCCCTAATCTATGGATTTCACATGACTGGGCAGGGAAGCAGCAATGGGTGGGCCTGGGAAGGTATAGGCCCACCCACTTGGGAGACAGGCCCAGCCAATCAGAATGAGTTTTTCCCCACAAAATACTCCTCAGCACCCCCCCCCCCCCCCTCCCCTCCTCAGACGATCCCGCAGGTGAAGAAGCTGGATGTGGAGGTCCTGGGCTGGCGTGGTTACACGTGGTCTGCGGTTGTGAGGCCGGTTGGATGTACTGCCAAATTCTCTAAAACAAAGTTGGAGGCGGCTTATGGTAGAGAAATGAACATTCAATTCTCTGGCAACAGCTCTGGTAGACATTCCTGCAGTCAGCATGCCAATTGCATTCTCCCTCAAAACTTGATACATCTGTGGAATTGTGTTGTGACAAAACTGCACATTTTAGAGTTGCCTTTTATTGTCCCCAGCACAAGGTGCACCTGTGTAATGATCATGCTGTTTAATCAGCTTCTTGATATACCACACCTGTCAGGTGGATGGATTATCTTGGCAAATGGGAAATGCTCACTAATAGGGATGTAAACAAATTTGTGCAAACCGTTTGAGAGAAATAAGCGTTTTGTGCATATGGAATATATCCAGGATCTTTTATTTCAGCTCATGAAAAATGGGGCCAGCACTTTACATGTTGCCTTTATACTTTTGTTCAGTATACTGTACCAGTCAAAAGTTTGGACACCTACTTATTCAAGGGTTTTTCTTTATTTTTTATATTTTCTACATTGTAGAATAATAGTGAAGACATCAAAACTATGAAATAACACATGGAATCATGTAGAAACCAAAAAAGTGTTAAGACATGAAGGTCAGTCAATCCGGAACATTTCAAGAAATTTGAATGTTTCTTCAAGTGCAGTCGCACACGAAACTGGCTCTCATGAGGACTGCCACAGGAAAGGAAGACCCAGAGTTACCTCTGCTGCAGAGGATAAGTTCATTAGAGTTACCTCAGAAATTGCAGCCCAAATAAATGCTTCAGAGAGTTCAAGTAACAGACACATCAACTGTTCAGAGGAGACTGTGTGAATCAGGCCTTCGTGGTCGAATTGCTGCAAAGAAACCACTACTAAAGGACACCAATAATAAGAAGAGACTTGCTTGGGCCAAGAAACACGAGCAATGGACATTAGACCGGAGGAAATCTGTCCTTTGGTCTGGAGTCCAAATTGGAGATTTTTGGTTCCAACCGCCGTGTCTTTGTGAGACGCAGAGTAGGTGAACAGATGATCTCTGCATGTGTGGTTCCCACCGTGAAGCATGGAGGAGGTGTGATGGTGCTTTGCTGGTGACACTGTCTGTGATTTATTTAGAATTCAAGGCACACTCAACCAGCATGGCTACCACAGCATTCGGCAGCAATACACCATCCCATCTGGTTTGGGCTTAGTGGGACAATCATTTGTTTTTTAACAGGACAATGACCCAACACACCTCCAGGCTGCGTAAGGGCTATTTTATCAAGAAGGAGAGTGATGGAGTGCTGCATCAGATGACCTGGCCTCCACAATCACCCGACCTCACCCCAATTGAGATGGTTTGGGATGAGTTGGACAGCAGAGTGAAGGAAAATAATAATATAATAATAATAATAATAAGCCATTTAGCAGACGCTTTTATCCAAAGCGACTTATAGTCATGTGTGCATACATTTTTACATATGGGTGGTCCCGGGGATTGAACTCACTACCCTGGCGTTACAAGCGCCATGCTCTACCAATTGAGCTACAGAGGACCACTTCTGTAGCCAACAAGTGCTCAGCATGTGGGAACTCCTTCAAGACTGTTGGAAAAGCATTCCAGGTGAAGCTGGATGACAGAATGCCAAGAGTGTGCAAAGCTGTCATCAAGGCAAAGGATGGCTACTTTGAAGAATCTCAAATATAAAATATATTTTGAGTTGTTTAAAGTAATGTACTGTCGTTTCTCTTTGCTTATTTGAGCTGCACTTGCCATAATATGGACTTGGTCTTTTACAAAATAGGGCTATCTTCTGTATACCACCCCTACCTTGTCACATCACAACACAACTGATTGGCTCAAATGCATTAAGAAGGAAAGAAATTCCATAAATTAAGTTTTAACAAGGCACACCTGTTAAATGAAACGCATTCCAGGTGACTACCTCATGAAGCTGGTTGAGAGAATGCCAAGAGTGTGCAAACCTGTCATCAAGGCAAAGGGTGGCTACTCTGAAGAATCTCAAATATAACATTTTGATTTGTTTAACACTTTTTTGGTTAATACATGATTCCATATGTGTTATTTCATAGTTTTGATGTCTTCACTATTATTCTACAATGTAGAAAATATAAAAATAAAAAAAATAAAAAAAAAACTTGAATGAGTAGGTGTGTCCAAACCTTTGAATGGTACTGTATAGGTATCCGTTACCCCTTGGCAGCATTATCAGAAAGCACAGCATTGATTTTAACTGCTACACAGATGATACACAATTTTACATTTCTGTGTCACCAGAGGATTTTAGCTCCACGGATAAATTATTAGAGTGTATTAGTGATTTAAATACTTGGATGGCTCACAACTTCCTCAAGCTAAATCAAGACAAGACCGAGGTACTTATTGTTGGAACCAAAGCACAGAGAGAATCTGCCCGCACATTTTAATTCACAGGCAATAAAGATAAAACATCAAGTAAAAAACCTGTGTGTTATTTTAGATTCTGAATTCAATTTCAAACCACACATTAGGAATATTAACAAAATAGCTTTTTACCACCTGAGGAACATTGCCAAGGTGTGGCCGTTTCTCTCTCAGGCTGATACAGAGAAACTCACCCATGCTTTTATTACAAGCAGGCATGACTGCTCTCCTGTCTGTTCTACCCAAGAAAGCCATTGGTCAACTGCAAAACATACAGAATACTGCAGCACGGGTACTGACCAAGACCAGACGGACAGCACACATTACACCGGTTTTAAGGTCTCTGCACTAGCTGCCTGTGAGTTTTATAATGAATTTAAAGATTCATCTATTGTTTTTTTTTTTATTAATCCACGATTGTGCACCCCAATACATGTCAGACATGCTTTTAAGTTATGTACCCAGTAGGTCCCTCAGGTCCTCTGGCCCTTTAACTATTCCAAAGTCTGGATAGTCTCAATTTTCGAGCAGCAGAAGGGCAAACTGCACAAACATACGGTAGAGCAAGTTTAAATATAATTTAGTCAACATTCTGGCGTGTAAAAGGAACAGTTACACAATTTTGCACACAAATGTCTCGGTCTGTGTATATCAATTAATTGTGTATAACAGCCTGATTAATCAGACTAGACAGCCACTTGTACTAATTAGCCATTTAAGTGTGCTCTGAACACCTGTTTGTAAGCATAACTGAGGAGGAAGTGTAGTTTGTCAACTGGAGGCACACGCAGCTTATGGATCTGTGCAAAACTGCAACAATTTCTTTACTTTAAAGATGATTAATTGGTGATATGAAAGATAAGGGGCCTACCAGCATATGTTTTGCTAGCGATTATTAACGTTTCTACACGTTAAAACAAAGCCTCGGAATTGTACTTCACACGCAGCCAGCCGTGGCGTGGTCGAAGCTAAACGCTGATAAGGGTTTGAGCGCTAGTTAACCGCCAACTTTAATCAACGACTGGTTGTGGATTTTTCCAATTATTGTTAGCCAACTACGTCGTACATACCCATTTAGCTTTCACGCGATTCCGTCGGGGTGTCAGGCACCGTAAATCTTTAATTTTCCTAAGCAATATTCTCGTGTCCATGAACGCCGCCATGTTGGTGTACGACACCCTTTCCAGTCCGTCTTTCCATCTGACAGAAATAGGGTCCCCCTAAGGGACACACTTCACGCCACTTCGATACAAAGTGTTTTTCGTAGCAGATTTGGAAAGTATTTTCGTACACCCTAACCCTTTTCCTAACCTCAACTGTAGTCTCCTAACCTGCTATGAAAGTAACTTCGGTTTCATACCAATCCTATGGAGATGGTTGGAGGACCGCCATCTAGAGAGAATAGAAGCATTCTTCCGGTGAACTTTATAGCTACGTTATTTCCTGCGTGTGGCCTAACACGTCCTCCAGATTCAAATCTTGTTAGCTAGGTCCTATTCCTTCAACCAGTGTTGTCTAAAATTATGGTTATCCAAAACAAAATAATGTATGGGGGGTCTGATGAGGTATTGTACAGTATCAATCTAAATATTTCAATGTTTTCTCTGCTAATCCGAGCAATGTATCAAATTTGAAGTTAACGTTACGCAACTCGAAAGTCATTAGCAAACTAGTGAGCCAGCTAACGTTTGCTGTCTAGTTTGCTAAAGGCATTGGTAGCCAGGCTCGCGTCCTTGGCAGCTAGCTACCAAGAGGCATGGCGAGGCAGCCTTTAGTGATTATGCCCCCAGCCTCTGGAATAGCCTGCCAGAGAACCTGAATGGGGCCAAAACTGTGAACATATTTAAAGGAGATCTTAAAACACATTTTTTGCTTTGTTTTTCCTTAGGGTGATTTTTAGTAATTATGTTTTTTATCCTCTTATGTTTGTGCAGTAAATATTTGTTTTATTTTCATTGTTTTTATTAGTTTTTTTCCTATGAAGGACATTGTGTTGCATTCATTTAGCAGACACATTTATCCAGAGCGACTTACAGGAGCAATTAGGGTTAAGTGCCTTGCTTAAGGGCACATCAACAGATTTTTCACCTAGTCGGCTCGGGAATTAGAACCAGCAACCTTTCGGTTACTGGCACAACGCTCTTACCCACTAAGCTACCTGCCGCATTCGATGTCTAAAATGTGTTGTATAAATAAAGCTTGATTTGATGAACTGGAAACTAACATTTCTAAGATACTTTATTCGTTCTTGATTCAGTAAAAAGTATTGCCAAGAACAGGTTAGTTCAAATCTATGCTGGCGGTTTGTATGGGGCTTTCCTGTAATGCCCAGTAATGGACACCAAAAATATTTGGTTATATCACATTGTACGCTAGATAATCTGTAGCTAACGTCCTGCATGTGCGCAAGCAAGCGAAGCTGAAGAGGCTTGCTGGAGCTTTCAGCAATTAGCATTCGCCTACTCATAGGTGCAGTCATTTGTGAGATGAATAAATGCTCCTGCTGCAGCAGCCCTACGTTTTGAGAAGTTTAAAAAATATCTAGGTACCTCAACATTCAAATCTTGTTAGCTAGGTCCTTTTCCTTCAACCAGATTGCCTCTTATCTGCTCGTCGTCCCCTTATGCCATAGTTTGTACATCTCAATTGTCAGTCGAAACCACATTTGTTTAAGCAAGTCAGCAATATCAGCTATGTTTTTTTTTAAAGGCAGTAAATGAGGCTGAATAAACTGTTTCGCTGCCAAACAAGGCTCGACAGGTGTAGCAGTAGTAAGGTGTTGGGACTCTGCTGTTGGGACAGCTTTATGTAGGCCCTTACAGTTTGTGGGCACCGTTTGTCACCATTATAGTCCAATTAATGTATTGTTTAGTGTTGTGGTGTGTAGTGGCTTTGCTGGCATGCATAACACATTTTTGCGGGGAGTTTGCCCCACCAAGATTGACATGCTAAAATCGCCACTGCACCTAGGTATGAAACATGAAATGAAAACTAGCTTTAGATGTAGATTATTTGAAAAAATCAAGTTGCTTAACTCATCTGATCATCATTTTCAAAAAAGGTTAGCTAATTGCTATTGAACCCATAACCTGTCACGAATTCAGCCGAGGCTGCTGCTCCTCCTTGCTCGGGCAGGATGTTTGCAAATTTATAAAAAATAAGACTGAAATATCATATTTACATTTACAGACCCTTTACTCAGTACTTTGTTGAAGCACCTTTGGCAGCGATTACAGCCTCAAGTCTTCTTGGGTATGACGCTACAAGCTTGACACACCTGTATTTGGGGAGTTTCTCCTATTCTTCTCTGCAGATCCTCTCAAGCTCTGTCAGGTCGGATGGGGGGCGTCGCTGCACAGCTATTTTCAGGTCTCTCCAGAGATGTTCGATAAGGTTCAAGTCCGGGCTCAGGCTGGGCCACTCAAGGACATTCAGAGACTTGTCCTGAAGCCACTCCTGCATTGTCTTGCTTGTGTGCTTAGGGTCGTTGTCCTGTTGGAAGGTGAACCTTCTCCCCAGTCTAAGGTCCTGAGTGCTCTGGAGCAGGTTTTCATCAAGGATCTCCCTGTACTTTGCTCTGTTCATCTGTTCATCTTTCCCTCGATCCTGACTAGTCTCCCAGTCCCTGCCACTGAAAAACATCCCCACTGCATGATGCTGCCACCACCATGCTTCACCGTAGGGATGGTGCCAGGTTTTCTCCAGATGTGACGCTTGGCATTCAGGCCAAGGAGTTCAATCTTGGTTTCATCAGACCAGAGAATCTTGTTGCTCATGGTCTGAGTCCTTTAGGTGCCTTTTGGCAAACTCCAAGCGGGCTGTCGTGTGCCTTTTACTGAGGAGTGGCTTCCATCTGGCCATAAAGGCCTGATTGGTGGAGTGCTGCAGAGATGGTTGTCCTTCTGGAAGGTTCTCCCATCTCCACAGATGAACTCTGGGGCTCTGTCAGAGTGACCATCGGGTTCTCCCCCGATTGCTCAGTTTGGCCTGCCGGCCAGGTGGACTCCAATCAAGTTGTAGGAACATCTCAAGGATGATCAATGGAAACAGGATGCACCGGAGATACATTTTGAGTCTCATAGCAAAGGATCTGAAGACTTATGTAAATAAGGTATTTCTGTTTTATATTTTTAATACATTTGCAAACATTTAATTCCAGTAGTTAATTGCAGCTGTGGAATCTATTTAAATACTACAGATGTGTAGTGTCAGGGAAGGCTTGAGACCACAGCATGTGTTGTATCTATTCATGTTAAGTCACAGATCTTGTTAATGTTGTTTTTCTTCTGGACAAAATATTATTTTCTCTATACACCAGCTACCTGAGCCATTAGACATACAATATGTGCATTTGACTGTTTATGGCTGACCTGCTGCTTGTATTGGGGATGGGTGCAGACTTCACAGATCTCTTTGTGGCCAGTGAATGAAGACTGGCCAGGTGACTAAACAATCTGGAATTGGACTGCATTAAAATTCAAAGCACTGCAGACCCTGTTTCCCTCTACTTCCAGTCTTTACATTACAGTTCAGACCATATAACTAGTTTATGAATGATTAGCCTCAGTTGGTTATTACACTAACTACTGTAGCAGCCAAGGAGCCCCAAAGTCATAGGATGGAATGCATTTTCCATATAACCAACTAATGGACACTTAGGAGTTGCCACAATGAGAAAAAGGTGTTTCTTGGTGTGACTGTCACGTTCGTTGAGAGACGGGTCAGACCAAGGTGCAGCGTGGTATGCGTACATATTTATTAATGACTATAAACACTTGACAAAACAACAAAAGCAATGTAACGTGAAGCTCAAACAATGGCTACACACTAACAAGCCAAACACGAGTCAAGATCCCACAACTAAGGTAGGCAACCAGGCTACTTAAGTATGATCCCCAATCAGAGACAACGAGCGACAGCTGCCTCTGATTGGGAATCACACCCGGCCAAACATAGAAATACACATTCTAGATCCTAAACATAGAATCTAACAACATAGATCTCAACCTGAACTCACACCCTGACCCAACCAACAAGAGTTCTCTAGATCAGGGCGTGACAGTGACATACTTTGGCAGTTTTAGAAGCATATAGTTCAAAGTCCATTCTTTTATTTTATGATCTTAAAATATAGGCCAAATAATAAGCAAATCTTGAATTGAAACTGGTAGAAATGGGTAATAAGTAATTTGTATACTGTACACCAAGTAAATTTAGTTACACTTTATTTGCTTAATCATTTCAGAAGTTCACACATGGTCAATCATGATAATAAACTAAAGAGTAAAAGTCAAACAGTCGCTGGCAGTGCAGGTCCATGATGTATACGGTTATAAAAATAGAGACCATCACTTGAAAGACAAAACCATAAACAAATTAAATGTTAAAATCAGCTTCTACCCCCAAGCCATAAGACTCCTGAACAGCTAATCATGGCTACCCGGACTATTTGCACTCCACCCCATCTTTTTACCCTGCTGCTACTCTGTTAATTATTTATGCATAGTCACTTTAACTCTACCCACATGTACATATTACCTCAACTACCTCAACTAGCCGGTGCCCCCGCACATTGACTCTGCACCCGTACCCCCCCTGTATATAGCCTCCCTACTGTTATTTTATTTTACTTCTGCTCTTTTTTTCTCAACACTTTTTTGTTCTTGTTGTTTTATTTTACTTTTTATTAAGAAATAAATGCATTGTTGGTTAAGGGCTGTAAGTAAACATTTCACGGTAATGTCTACACCTGTTGTATTCGGCGCATGTGGCAAATAACATTTGATTTGATTTGATTTTAAGTGGTGTGGATATCAACATGATCATGTGCACAGTCTGTGGTGTTGAGGATTTCCTCCTCACCAACAGTTCTCCTGGTTATTTTTGCCAACAAACTTATCCATCGAGGCCTGCAGAGAGAAAGAGATCTGAGTCTTTTGCTTTGGACACAGAGCAGTGGAAGCTTGGACATGACACACATCATCAATGCCGGACCTGACCAACCCTCAAAGGGGTGATTCCACTAGGCTGGATCTATGGACATCATTGCACCTTTTCTAACACAGGGTGGCAGTATACAGTAGGATAACAGTAAAGGTCACCTCAGACTTTGTATGAGGTGCAAAGCCAAAAAATACACAAAGGAAGATGTAAGAAACGACTT